TCATGATTGACTTTAGTTCATCTACCCACGTAAACTCATAATTGTTCACATGTACAATCCGCTGGTTTTTCGCAACACTTCGCATTTTTCTTAGTAGCAAAGCGTCTTTTCATTTATTTGTTTCTCCAGTATGACATCCAACTCATATGTTTTCAGACATGAATAATCGCAAACCGCACCAGATTTTTCCAGAGTTAATATAAAACCTTGCGGCATTAATAAAGGCAATAACTGTTCATATAATTTCTTGCTATTTTTTGTCAAAATATCGAAACCAATGATCATCAGACAGTTCTCGTTTTTCGATAACTTAGTAATCTCCGTGGTAGAAACATCGTTGGGCAAAGAGATATTTGGGAATTTTTCGTGAGTCTTCACGAGTTTAGTGTGGTGTCGAATCTGCGGTAAATTATTTAAGATTTCACTAATAACTGGAGAATTTAAATCTTCTGGTGTCACATTGTCACTGTCATCGACAAGTTCGATAATTTTAACATTTGTCACATTGTAACATTCGAGTGCAATGTGCACCGACATTCTTACTGCATCTTGCAACGACATAGTACCTAAATCACGATGAGCAACAAATTTGTATTCTTCAAGAACGGTATTAACTACTTTTTTTCGGCGAGATATAGGTGTAGCAACAGTGCCACAAATTTCTATTCCTCCAGATATTATAGCGTCTGAAGACTTGTAACGACGAACAGAGAATTCTGCAACGTAGCGAATGAAATTTATTTGTCAGGCAATTGGCCGCATTGTATCAGTTATTTTACTTACGTCTATCTTCAATTGGATAATCCTGAATTATCTGTGTGTGATATTTTGGATCAATAGTCAGTTTGCGAATTCTTGTTGGAACATAAAGGCTTCTTGAATTCTGTCCTAATATCATCATCTGTAACATACTGTCCATAAATGCCACCCAATTAGATGTCCATGCGATATGACCGTTTGATCCCGAAACCGATGCACTTTGTAATCCACGAAATGCGCCGGTATATTGATAACCGCGAAGTCTTAATTCCTTATAGATGTCTTTTGCATTCATTTCTTCGTCATCATCGATATATTCAGCAAGATTAGCTGATATTTTTTCATTTTCAATATTGTTTGGAATTCGTACTGTTCCAGTAACAATAGCATTATCTCCTTCGGTTATTTCAAACCTGTTGGTACCTTGATATAGATATAAATTCTTTAAATATAAAATGTTATAATAAATTAAATAAATAAAAATATATCAATATGAAGTTTAGAATCTTACAAAAGCAGTTGATTTGTTAAAGGAAAGATTCCTGTGCTTGATTTAATTATTCTCATCTGTATACTTTTATTTTATTTTACTTTAATTATAGCATATAGAAATATTGCATCATAAAAGTGGCCTAAATCTTAAAATCTAATACTCGCATGAGAAAATTAACTGTTTACGTAATAATATTACCTTCTTGAATCGAAAAAGTTAATTCAATCTCATTTTGTTGTGATAGTACTGTAGCACGAATAAAATTAACGTCTTCAAATACGATTGGTACATTGGTACACTCTTGTTTATTCAACGATGCCATCATCTCCCAGAGACAAAAAAGATATCCCATAGCCGGAAATAAAATTTTGTTATCTACGACATGGCCCATTAAATATATGAATGCCTCATCAGCTACATCAATATTGATAACCATTTCTCTTTTGAAAATTACTTTTTGATGAATATATTGAAACACGTAGAAGTCTTCGGAATGATTCCATCTAAAAACATCATTACGTAAAATGCACTTATAAAATGCAGTTGTTTATTTATTATCAAAATGACGTGAAATTTACTGAGATCCTAATATTTTTAAATTCTTCTTTGCTCTTTATAAGTATGATACATTATGTGAGTATATTTATTGTTAGGATAATAAGTAGAATGAGACCATTTGGATAAAATTGCTTAAAAAAACCGCTCTTCGATGATCTTAACTGATCATATATGTTGTCAAGATCTTAACCCCAATCGTAACATTTTAAAAAGTTACTCTCTAAAAGTCGAAAAGTGAAATATCACTCAAACGAGTGAAATAGAAGTATAAGTGTAAC